CCTGGCATGTGGTTTCCCACAGATTCTTCAGTGTCACAAACAGGTTCTGCAAACTACAAAAAAACCCTCCTTAAGGCCCTGCCCTTGTGGTTAAGAGAAGAGAAAGAAGCTCTGTGGAGGGTGAGTGTGTGTGTGTGTGCATTTGGACAACTAGCATCACAATTTCATTACTTTTGCCATTTCACTAACAACAAAACCGTGGATGGTAAGTCCCAACTGGAAACCTCCGGAAAAGAAAGGGGATAGAGACAGAGAGAGGTAGAGGGAGAAAGTAGGTTCGTTCTCAAGACAGTGCCTACCAGAATTTTAATAGAGAGATATTTTTTTATTCTTAGAGATCTGCCATTCACTCATTCATTCAACAAATATTAGGGACCAATGTTAATCCCTGTAAAAAGCAATGGGGAATCGATGGCCAGTAACATTAACACAGCCCTGGCGCAGTCTAGCATGGGAGACAGATAGTGTAGAAATAACCACACAAACAAATATGTAACCTGCAGTCATGGGCCTATGCTTGTTTGTTCTCAGAGCTATTTTCTGCTCTTCCCCTGCTCTGCTGTATTTCCTTTGCCTTCTGTCTTTCTGGTAGGTTCAGTCAACAGGAGACCCTGGCAGGAGATTGGAGGGGAGGAGGAAGGGATGTTTTTCCCATCACTACCTCACCTCCCGTCACCCGCCAGGCTTTCTCCAGCTCTTGGACGCTGATGAACCACCTCTCCCTTTTTCCTTTCCAGTGCCAGGGATGCCAGGGGCTTCCATAAGGTATTTCCCACATGCCCAGCACCTCTATAGCCAGTTCCTTCATGGATTTCCTTCCTGGCCAATCACATAACAATAAAACCTGTGTTGAGGGCCAAAAAGGAAAAGTATGTTGTGAAGAGAGGACAATCAAAGATCTGTCACAGTCTTTATGGTGAACAAAGCTTCTCTGAGAAAGAGGCATTTGAGCTCAGATAGGAGGAATGAATCAAAGTCACATAGACAAAGAATGTGCTTAAAGCTTCCCAGAAGAGAGAACAGCACAGGCAAAGGCCCTGCGTCAGAAGAGCTTAGAGCCAAGTAGGAACTGAAGTAAGAGTAGTGTTACCAGGGTGCCGGGGGCAAGGAGAGAGCGGGTTATGGAATGGGGTGGCAGTTAGGAAGAGGCTGGATCGTGCAGGTCCTATAGGCTGTGTTTAAGACTGATAGCTATCGTGAGGAGGATGGGTAGCAACTAGACAGCTTTAAACAGAAGAATGATAAGACAGATGTGCATTGTTAAAACGATCACTGTCTACAGTGCAAAGGCTGTGATACGGGTGGGTGAGAATGGATGTAAAGAAACCGGACCGGAGGTACTACAGGAATCCAGGCAAAGGCAGAGAGCAGCCTGAGCAAAGGATAGTGGTATTAGAAATGGAGAAAAATGGATGGACTCAAGGGATATCTAGGAAATAAATCAGGAAGGCTTGGCAATTGATTAGTCAAGAAAGGATGATGGAGAGAGGGATGTCAAGGATGACTCTAGGGTTTGGCGTATCCAGGTAAGTGGATAGATGGTGGTGCCATCCACCAAGACAGGAGAAGCTGAAGGAGGAATGGGCTGTGTGGGCATATATGGAGTGAGGAGGAGATGAATCATAAGTTTAGTTTTGCTCATGTTGAATTTAAAGTGACTTAGAGATACCTAAATGCATTTATCTCTACTAGGCACCTAGATAGATGGAGCTAGAGCTCTGTGGCAGGTTGGATTTTTGTTTCTGATTCTTCACTCGCTTGCAATAGAATTTCACACTCACACTCTTTGCCATGTAACTTTGCAGTGCCTCTTAACTAGTGGGAGGAGTGTATTTCCCCACCCATTGATTTTAAATTTGGCCCTGAAACTTACTTTGGTCAGTAGAAGATTAGTGGCCAAGATACAAATAGAGACTGTTAACATGCTCTCATGTTTGGCTTGTCCTCTTGTGATCTTTCAGGAGAACGTGCTTTAGCAAGCCACTGCCCCTCTAGCCTATCCCTTAGAATTATGACATGGAGTTGACCCAAACACAACCCAGAGCTTCGGCCTGGCCAAATCCAGTTGAGCAGTGCCTTGTCTAGCTGATCTGCAGATCTATAAACATTGTCATAATCCACTAAGCTTCTGAAGTTATTTGTTATGTAGCAGAAACTAAGGAATCTAGCTCAAATGAAAGGACCAGACAAGAGACATACTTCTGCGAGTCATTGATACAGAAATGGTAGCTACAATTTGTGTCGTAGATGAGACCTCTGAGACCACAACATTACACGATTTAAAAACAAATCCACTTTGGATAAGTTTGGACAAACTTTTCTTCGACCATGCCTCCGTCCTCTGAGCCAGGTAGTGCATCTCATCTGAATACTTTCACTCTCTCTTCCACAGCATTGCAGTTGGGCCTGCTAATCAGAGCCTCAGGCTCCAAATTTGTGTCACCGCCTGCACACCCAAACTTTTTGTCCTCTGCCTATCTTTTGACTTAGGCATCTATGGCGCATTTCTGATTTGGTGTGTCTTTGAGTGGCAATGGCCTATGCCTCTCAAACATTTGCTTTTTAAATGTAAATGTTAATGCCCTTGGGCCAAAGCTAACTAGCTATCAGGCTATGTGGAGTTAACCTCTTTGCCAAAGAAAGCCTCTGTACGCATCACAAAGGTGACTGCCTGTAGCCATCACTGTAGAACACATTCAACTTTCTCCAAATGTCAATGAGAGGACTTGAAACAAGATCTTTTCTTTTAATTCTTATTTTTATTTTAAGTTCTGAGGTACACGTGCAGGATGTGCAGGTTTGTTACACAGGTAAATGTGCGCCATGGTGGTTTGCTGCACCTATCAACCCATCATCTAGGTATTAAGCCCAGCATGCATTAGCTATTTTTCCTAATGCTCTCCCTCCCCCCATACAACCCTGACAGGCTCCAGTGTGTGTTGTTCCCTTCCCGAAACAGGAACCTTTTGCAGCCTCCATTTAGACTTCTTGATAGGAAGAAGAAAATATGGAAATCTATATTATATATGTTGATTCCTGGTTCCTCCAATTAAGAACCCACACGGTTGTTCCAGTTTAGAGTTATCTCAAATTCTCATCCTCTTTCTTCCTCTCTTCTCATTATTTTTTCTTTCTTTCTTTATTTCTTACTCTCCACTCAGGCTGCATTCATTAAGCTCTCTTTGCTTAGGTTTGAATAAAATGAGCACATTAAAATATTTAGCTGATTTCCTTTTCCCCTTTTCCTATGCTAATTCCTTAGTCAATTCACCACCGTAATAGAAGTTTATGTTCATTTTTCTCCATTTCTCTGTTCTGTGTGTTTGAAGGGTTCTCTCTCATATTCATTACACCTGGTAATCTGACTCTCGCTTTTCTGTAAATAATTCCCTTCATCTTTCAGGGGATATCGAATGAATTTTTTTACTTCTCTGTTTGAAATTAATCTGCAGTGACGTTTGAGTCCTATGTGGATCTAATGGAAAATATCAGGGAAAAACCCACGGTATCCATATCCCTGATGGTTGCCACTCAGGCTTCTTCACTAAGTGTTTTAAAGAGCACCCAGGCAAGAGCTAGAAGGCCTGAATTCCAGCTTCAGCTCTTACACTTGGTTGCTATGTCGCCATAGATTGTATTCTCCTTATCTTCTTGGTTTGTTTTGTTTGGAGATGGGGGTCTCATGTTGGAGGGCAGTGGTGTGATCCTAGCTCACCGCATGATCACTGCAGCCTCCAACTCCTAGGCTCAAGTGATTTTCCTGCCTCAGTCTCACAAGTAGCTAGGACTAGAGGCGCAATTTTTAATTTTTTTGGTAGAGATGGGGGTCTTCTTATGTTGCCTAGGCTGGTCTTGAACCCCTGATCTCTAACAATCCTCTCATCTCAGGCTCTGGAATTGCTGGGATTTACAGATGTGAGCCATCATGCCTGCCCCCTCCTCCCTGCCTTTAAAATGGTGATAACGTTATGCTATTTACCTTACCTGACTGTTGACCTAATTAATCTGAAATAAGAAAATTTTAATATATGATTAAATATTGAAAGCTGCAGCAGTTAGGAATATATTTGGTGATAGAAACAAACTAATCAACTTACAGTAACTTTAATAGTTGGGTTTATTTTTCTCTTAGGACAAGAAGAAAGTATGTGATTACTTGGGTGGGTTCAGTGAATCAATGGTCTCTCTGTCTTCATCAGGAGAGCAAAAATTTCCCCAGAACATACTCCTAACAGATTTGCACTTGTTTTTCATGGCCGGAAGTAAGTCACAGGGCTGCACTTAGCTCAAGGGAGATGGGAAAATTGAGTATTTGGAAGTCAGTGGGTGGCAAAAAGAAGGGTGTCGCAAATATTTTGGGGATAATCACTTAGAATTATCTGCCTGAGAAAGTTTTGAATTAAAATCACATTAACGAATACACCTATCACCTTCCTTTGGAGAGGATGCAGTGCTTCCTCAAACTTCCATTTGCTCAGAGAAAGCAGAAACCCAGGAGGAGAGCCAAGTGCCTGCTGTGCCTCTTCCTTGGGGCTGTGTCTTCCCTAAATCTAGATTGCTGGTCCAAGGGAATCAGGCCACTCAGTTGGCTTCATCAGTGGAAATTCTCAACACATAATACTCTTCTGCTGTGAGATGTTTCACCCTGGGAATAAAGGTGCAGACACTATCAAGTCATGGGGCACAGGTAGAATTCTGACTCTTCTCTTTTCTAACTGTTAATCTTGAACAAGTTTATACTTAAAACTCTCACATTGCTCATTTGAAAATGGGAATAACAATGTTACTTGTCTCTTTTCTGTGGCAGTGAGGATTAAATGGAAAGCCCTAAATACAGTGGCTACCATCTGTAACCATTCAGTAAATGGTAAGTGCTATTATTATTTTTTTTCTTTTGTCCTTCAAATTTTATTATGGCTCTACATTTTAAACAAATGCATCAACATAATTTCCATAACAATAGTCAGAAATGCTCACTACTTAATAAAGGAAACAAGAAATAATCTTTTAAATTATTTTAATACAGTCTCTTGAGAGCAGTAACACGTTGGTAAACTTTCGGCAGAAGTGCATTCCTAAATAAGTAAACCCAAGGCAACAGTTGACAAAAAGGTAAAGAAAGAAGTAGCTTTATTTTAAAATAGCGTCCTTTGGTATCTCTGGGGGACTGGTTCCAGGAACCCTCATGGATACCAAAATCCTTGGATGCTTATGTCGCTTTTATAAAATGGCATCGTATTTGCATATAACCTACAGACTCTTCCAAATACTTTAAATCACCTCTAAATTATTGATAATACCTACTATGTAAATGCTATCCAAATTGTTGTTTTACAGTATTGGTTTTTAATTTGTATTTTTTATGTTAGATTATTTTTTATTTTTTTTCTTGAATATTTTTGATAGATGGTTGTCTAAATTTGCAGATGCAGAACATGTGGACAGAGGGCCAACCATAAACGCCAAAAAAATCAACTTTAAAAAATAACTTTAGCAATGTGAGTTATTCTTAAATACAAATGGGGACTGAACATACATGTATCAAATTGTACTCTCATACACTGACATAAGCATACCTCCAAACAAGTTAATATAAAGGTAAATACATAAATATATACAAATAAATACACATACCCAAATAACAAGCCACATAGCACCCACCATTTTCCAAGACCAAAATTTTATATAAACATACTGGCAAATACAGCAAAATAACACTGGAAATTAATATGCTTACATATATAGACATGTATAAATACCAGAATTCAAAGTGACATGTAGCATATAACACAGGTACTTAAGGCGTAAACAACACAGCTCAGTCAGAAACAGCCCATAAAGAAACAGTTATCCATTGAAACAAATGCTATTGTAACCTTCTCACTAGGGATGAAAATTCAGCAGTTCACAATGGAATTGAGATTAATAAAATGCTCATGCTTTAAATAATGAAACAAAGAAACCAGACTCTAAACCACTCACCACTGCTGAGTTGGTTATGTTGATAATGTGAAGACAACTTCAGAGACTTAAAAGCACAGGGAGGCTTCGGGAGTCCTATCTAGAAAAAGGACTTGCTAAATGTAATCACTGAAGGTGAACATAGAAACATTCTGTAAAGTTGGCTAAATTACCTTTCACTTTTTTTTTTTTTTTAAGAAACAGGGTCTCATTCTGTTGCTTAAGCTGGAGTGCAGTGGCATGATCTTAGATCACTATAGCCTTAGACTCCTGAGCTCAAGTGATCCTCCCAGGCTCAGCCCCCTAAGTAGCTGGGATCACAGGTGTGTGAAACCATAACTGGCTCAAATTCTTTTTACTTTGAAGGCCCTGCTAGAAACTTGCTGGTGCTCTAATTCACGACTTGGAGAGGCAAAACTAAAAAAGCTGTTGCTGGGTTCAGGTGCTGTGGGAGAACCTACAAAAAATGGTCTGAACTGAAAATCTCCATCTCCATCTCCCCGATTTCGAACAGGTGATCTATCCAAAGGAAACTTGGAGTTGTTACCTAAGGGGAAGCCAAAAACACCAGACTGTGCAGTCATGGATGGTTCACGGGTGCCTTCATGGTTAGCAATAGTGATATTTCATAGCCTAAGGCTATCATAGAGGCCTTGGAGCTTTTGATACTGACGATTGCGCTCCATAAGTTTCTCAGAGATGTCACTGAACTTTTTTTTGTATTCTTCTAGCACTTTCTTCATGGAGGTGACCTCCCCTTTCACAGAGGTCAATTCTACATCCTTGCTTTGTATTTGCTGAGTATATATCTTCTCCATCTGTTTCAGATGGCCCTCAGCCTTGCTGAAATTGTATTCTTGATAGAGACGTTCCTGATGTACCTGGTATGTCCAGAAGGCCAGTGCTCGGGAGCTAATGTCCAACACGATCTCTGGTCGCAGTCCTGCCAATACCGTAGCTTTATATTCCTCTGACGGACTGAGTTCTGTGCGGACAATATCTAGCAGGCAGGACAGATAGCTGGTGAGCGACTAAACTCACCGCTGCCATGCTGATCACAGAAGATGTGAGAACAGGCAGTGACCCATGCATAGCCAGAGAGATTCGATAATTACAAAGCAGCATATCTTCACACAAAGACATAATAGGATAGTGAGGTCTCCAGAAGCTAAGAGAGTCCTCCACAGCGCCACAAGCGAAGATTCCAGGATTCTCTGCGCGGGAGGGCGTCAGGGAACTACGCCAGAGCACGCAAGCGCGGGGTTGCCCCGAAGCATCCTGGGACCTGCCAGGCTGCGGGGAGTTGCTGAGGGCCGCTCCGGCTTCCTAAAAATCACAACTTCCCAGAAACGGTGTGACAGCTCTAATTGAACATCTGGCACCTCCATGTATCCCAAAACCATAAAATGCAGTAATCGTCTACTGTATATCCAGGAGTTACAGCACCAAAGAGGTCCGGAATGGAACAGGGAGACTCAGATCTGGTTTTGGTCTCTTGAAATTTTACTTATCTGGCATCACATGAATCCAGCTTCTATCCAGAAACCAAGTTGAACCGCGGGATCTGTCAATTACCTAAGATCATCTGTGTAGTGAAGAGAACTTAAGACAGTTCATCTTGATCAAAATTCAAGTACCAGGCTTTAGGTCCCATCAGCCTTTAACCCTTTCTATTGAGAATGTCCAAATCCAAGCCCAGTTGATTTTCAGGGGGTCTGTAGATGGACCAATTCTGGACTGGCACATAGGGTGCTGAAGACCCAGGCCTTTCATCCTCAGTGGATTTCATCTTCAACCAGCCCACCAAAACGGAGAGGGCGGTAAGTGCTATTATTAACATTAGTAATTGCTATGTACTGAATCTCTATGGCCCCCCAAAACTGATATGCTGAAACCTAATCCGCAATGTGATGGTATTTAGAGGTAGGGCTTTTGGAAGTGATTAGGTCATAAAGGTGGGGCCCTCATAAATGGGATTAACACAGTTTATAAAAAGAGACTCTCGAGAGGCCCCTCGCCCTTCACCGCTGTGAGAACACAGTAAGAAGACGGCTGTCTGTGATCTGGAAAGCAGGCCCTCACCATACACAGAATGTACAGGCACCTTGATCTTGGACCTCCCAGCCTCCAGAACTGTGAAAAATAAATGTTCGCTGTTAAAGCCACCCCGTCCAGGATATTTTTATTATAGCAGTCCAAACAGACTAACACAGTAATCATAAACAGTAACACTTTCTAAATGTACAGATTTTCCAACTCTATGTCAACTTTACTCCAAAAGGTTAGTTAGCAACAAGAATTATGTGAATAATGATTTCTGTTTGCATCTAAAATTAAACCACATGAGCTTATTGGAATTCATCCTAGAATATCTGTAATTGTTAGTATTTGAATGACAAGCTCTCCCATACATTTACTAAAGTTTGTAAAGAAAACTGTGCCATTCCGGAGTATGATGATCTGTCCCCGTGATGTATCTAGTAAGTTCATTACTAGTCTGTAGTAGTCTCTTGCCAAATTCAATTTGCAAAAGCAATAGCCATTTCTTTTAATCTTGTTTGCAATATTGCTCATTAAATAGAAGATATATTATGCCAGATCTTGTTCATTTCAAAGCAAATTATAGGAGGTAACTAAATTGTGCACCAGGAGAAAGAGTCCAATGTTTAACCAGCAAGGCCACAAAATCAACATCTGCTTTTTGACAAGCTGAGAGATCCAAAAGAACCTTGATGAATCTTAATGCTATCTGTCATATACCACAACGTTCCATCAATTATTTCATTGTGAAAGAATGACTAATTATTATGCCTACATGGGGATCATTTGCATATTCGAGCTCAAGTGTTTTATGGAGAAAAGAATATTGCTTTGCTGTGAGGGCAAACTCCTTCCCTCCAGATTAAAATACTTCTTTTTACACACTGTTACATTAGGCTTGCTATTGAAACCCAGGGACAGAGAAAATATAATTCAGGAACTAAGTCCAAATCTATTTTCCCATTTCCAACAGAAAGGAAAACAGTATATTTTTCAGGTATTTTAGACTAAATTTTTGAAAAATGTCCCATGCAGCTGCCATTGTTCATCAGGGAAAATGATCTGGATACAATTGGCCTAATCAACTCTTAATCTGAGCACATAAGTGGATGATTATACCTAGTGTTACCCACACAAGCAGCTGCTGACATCACGGTCCTTTTGAAAACGCTGCACCTGAGATAGATGCCAGGTAGATGGCACTGGAGATTTCAGACTCCAGAATTCAAAACAAGCTGAGCATCTGGTGGAGCCATCCATTGAGCCAAAAGGCTGCTTTCTACAGATGAATGAGTGTTAAGACAGCTGTCCTTCCTAGACCACGAGCAGCCGCTGGCCAGGGTTGCTGCCTGCCAAAAGGGTGGAGCTGGAAGAAACCAGGAGTCAACCACGGCTACCGCAGTCTAATGAGTTAGTTTGACACCAGGGACATATTAGAATGACTTGCTGCTGCTGCAAGCTTGCACATGACTCTTCTCAACTGCAGAGAAAAGCCAATATGATGCCAGGCTAGAAGAAGCAACATCACCATCAGCCTGGTCTCATTATACGTATAGCCTACTCTCTCTGATAGCATAAAGCTGGACCTGCCCTGGGCCGCCAACAAAGTCTCCCTGGAAGTCATGAATGGCACGCAGATGAGAAATATGAAACATCTAAGTGAATATAGAGGAGAGGGCATTTCTGATAGTCACTCATGAGTCAGGCCCACAGGCTTAACACACTATGATACTTGTACTGGTTTCTTACAGCTGCTGTGACTTAAAACAAGAGACATTTTTTCTCCCGTGGTTCTGGAGGCTGAAAGTCTAAAATCAATGTGTTTTCAGGGCTATGCTCTCTCTGAAGCTGTAAGCAAGAATCCTCCTTTGCCTCTTCCACCTTCTGGTGGTTTCTGGCATTCCTTGGTTTGTGGGAGCCTAAATTCAGTCTCTACCTCCGTCTTCATTCACATGGCCTCTTCCCTGGGTCTCTGTGTGTTGTTTCTCATAGTCTTCTTATGATGCTGCCAGTTACTGGATTTTGGAACCATCCCACTCCAGTATGATCTCATCATCACTTGATAAGGTCTGCAAAGTTTTTATCTCCAAATATGGTCACATTTACTGGCATGGGGAGTTAGGACTTTAACACATAATTTTAGGGAACACAATTTACACCACAACACTGGCACATGAAGAAGGAATAGGAAGTGTCTAGATGAATGTAGGGGAGAGGGTATTTTCTGTATTTGCTTAGACTGAAAGAATGTCATGAATCAAGCCGAAGAACTTGAAACACCTGGTGCTTATATAGAAAACCAGCAATGCTGTAATCTGGGTTCTCCACCTCACTCCTCACTCCTTAGGATGCCTTACTTCCCCTGTGGGAAGACCAGCAACACTTAGGATTATTTGCTCATTGTATAGGTAGAGGGGTCACTAGTGTAATCGTAACACAGCAGCCCACCCCTAAAATTTGCAGGGCTCAGGATAAGAACACAAATGGAGACCCACATAACATATGTCTAATTATTTCCAAGTTATATTTCATGCCACAAATTGTTAAGCAAAATATGTTCTGTTTTCCTATTTTGACAAATACACCCTCATTACTACAAAATTTTTATAGGAATTGGAAAGCTGTGGTTTTTATTTAACTGAAAGTCGGCAAAATATCAGATGATCTGTCTGGGTAGTCTGTTGAAGGGCTGGTGATATTACAATGAGTAATAAAACAAATACAAAATTCATAAATTACATATTTATTTCACAGAATTTACTGTCTTGCCTTTATTGCAGAAAATGTACTAATTATGTTGTTGTTGCCTGGTGCGGTGGCTCACACTTGTAATCCCAGCACTTTGGGAGGCCGAGGCAGGTAGATCATCTGAGGTCAGGAGTTCAAGGCCAGCCTGGCCAACATGGTGAAACCCCTTCTCTACTAAAAATACAAAAAAATAGCTGGGCATGGTGGCACACACCTGTAGTTTCAGCTACTTGGGAGGCTGAGGCAAGAGAATCACTTGAACCCGGGAGGTGGAGGTTGTAGTGAGCTAAGATTGCCCCATTGCACTCCAACCTGTGCAAGAAAAGCAGAACTCTGTCTTAAAAAAAAAAAATGCTGTTATCAAGCTTTTCACATAATTTGTATTTTATTGACAGTGTTGCCAAATTAGACCAAATTCTTTGAATGCCTTTTGTTCTTGGGTAGTTTTTACAAACTTTAATCTTGAGAAATTTTGCTTTGCTGAGGCAAAAGCAACTGGTATTTTCATCAAAATGCTTAAAGCAATAACTAGATTCACATATGAATGATGAGTTTTATAGATCATGTTCAAACATTATAATTCATTTATATGTGAAAATTTACCATTATCACAGAAAGAGCTATAATACATTTAGTTTCATCATAAAAATTGCTGTCACTTATGTCACAGTTTTAACATTATATAAAGGGGTATAAAAAGCCATTTTATTGTTTTAAAGTTCTTATTTCAAATATTTCAATACTGGGATGATTACTAAAAAAACTGAAATAGTAGTATGTTGTAAGATTTGTTTAAATCTCATTTTAATCAGGACTATATCTTAATCTATGCAAGCTAGAAAAACTGGCTTCTTAAAAATTAGTTTCAGGATTATTTGCCCATATTATTTGTTTCTCCTTAGGGTCATTTTTGTTTCCAACTTCTAATTTTCTTATATTTTATTGACATGTCATTTTTGTATGTGACTCACATGTAGTTTCTATTACTTATAAAAATACATTTTATAATTAAAATACTATGATATGTTATATACATATAATATGTGTGTGTTAAATATTTTTAAAATAAAACAAGATAGATTTGTTTAGGGTTTTGTAAACTTTTTCTAGCATTATTAATAGCATCCATCCATTTATACCAAATAGCTGGGCATAAATTATACTAATTGTAAATTTATACTAATTATAAATTAGTTTGATTTTCTGTGATGGCCACAGTTTTCTCATTGAGCATCTTTTGCTAAACTCTCTCACTGCAACTTATATTTCTTTATGTGTCCTTAGAAATGCTCTAAGGTTTTATCAAAACATTTCATATTTTAAAAGAACCAGAAGAGATTACCTATAATCTAGATATTATTCCCAATAATGTCATGGATGAAGACACGGTAAAGGCCATGCCTACTAGTAATAGCACAAAAGAATTATACAAAAGAGTGCCAAATGCAAGAATAGATTTGGAGCAAATTTTTGGTTTGTGCACCTGTCCGCCATGTTAGCACCATTATCAGACACTTATCACTGACTAACTTTTATTTTGAAAGAGTGATCTGTTAAAGGATACCAAATTATAGCCAGATAGGAGAAATAAGTTCAAGTGTTCTTGAACTTATTACTGTAGGATGACTACAGTTAAAAATCATAGTTTTGAATAGCTAGAAGGAAAATATTAAACATTCCCAACATAAAGAAATGATAAATGTTTGAGATGATGAATATGCTAATTAATTAAACCTGTTCTGATCACTCCGCATTACACCTATTGAAACATCATCACGTGCCCCAGAAATATGTAGAATTATTTGTCCATTAAAAAAATAACATTTAAAAAGTAAATAAAAGTTATTTTTAATCTTTGTGTGTTATTGATTTTTATTATTGTTTTTATAAGATGAAACTTAAGAATTCTAGCTTTCAATGTCCTTCTGGTTGTCAATATAAAGAGGAGATATCAAATTTCTGGCATTATATATATACAACATATAGTATGTATATTATCATATATAATATAATGTATATGATAT